ACTTATCTGTGTCGGCCTCACGAATCCGTGAGCCGACGGCCGAATGATTACAGTCGCTACGCGACGAACAGTAATCTGGCCGGAGCGGAGTAGAGTCAAATGTCGATGACACGTATCCGTGCAACGACGGCGGAGTGACTACAGTCGCCAATCGACGAACAGTAATCTGCCAGGAGCGGAGTCGGTCTCTCTTAGAGCGGATAATCGGAATCGGATTCTCCTTCGAGAGCGGTGGATCGGTTCTGATTCTCTTTCGAGAGCGGATGATCGAATCTCTCGATTACGATTACGCGGCGTTTTATATACCTCGAATCTCGCTTGATTCGCTATTTACCGCGGTTGTTCGGCGGTCGCGCTGTTTACTGTTTTGGAGGACGCGCTGTCCTCTTGCGCTTTCGGTTCGCGGTGTTCGGCTTGCGTTGTTATTATTACGTAACGATATGCATCGTTACATAACTATTTGGAAAATAGCGGATGGGAAGTTCTGGCTCACCCGCCTTATAGCCCAGACCTTGCCCCTTCCGACTACCATTTGTTTCGATCGATGCAGAACGCTTTGACTGAAATACACTTCACTTCAGAACAGGGTATCAAAAATTGGCTCGATTCATTCTTGGCTTCAAAAGATGAACGCTTCTTCCGCGACGAAATCCATAAATTGCCAGAAAGATGGGAAAAAGTAGTGGCTAGCGATGGACAATACTTTCAATAATGTATTAATTCATTTTATCATTCAAATAAATGCGTTTTTCAAGCAAAAAAACGGACCGAATTAAGTTGTACACCCAATAAATTATATATTCTCTCTTTCTTTCGCGTGCACACACGCACACACGCACACATACACACATATATACACACAATCCGTAAATTAAAAATCCGTATGTATATTCTTGAAAGCAGAAATATCTTTATAATTATACAGAAATTTTCGTTAAGACTCCTTGCCTCTCGCATTGTCTATCTCTTTTAATGACGTCAGAAGCGAGAAAATGCATGCTAAAAATTGTTGCGTTAAAATAAAAATATATATCCATAAAGTAACGCTTGCGATCAATTAAACAAATTTGTAAAATGTCCTGTGCATTCCCCTTTTGCTCTAACAATCAATAATTTGTCGTAAATTAACGTGGCATACAATTCATCTTTTGATTTATTGTCTTCGTCTATTCCTATACAGATTATTTTACAATAAATTATTGATTGTTAGAGCAAAAGAGAAGTGCACGGAATATCTTACAAATTTGTTTAATCGATTTGTTTAATCGCCAGTGTTACTTAGTAGATATACATTTTTATTTCAATATATTTCGCAAGAATTTTTAGCATGCATTTTCTCGCTCCTGACGTCATTAAAAAGACAATACAAGAAGTCAGGAGCCTTAAACAATCTTCTGTATTCTATTGTAACATACTATTACGAAAATTTCGTCACATTTTTATTAAAAAACAAATATCGTTATAGAGTACAAATATATAAAAACTTACGAATTGCGTCAATGCTTCTTCCACAGTTTTCAGCATATTTTCTATTTCTTTAATAGCCGTAATTGTACTAAGAGGAAAAAATTGCATGATGAAATTGTCATCATTTTCTTTTCGTTTTTGCAAGGTACGGCTTTTGATAGCATCTTCAAATTTTTTCAAACGTTTTTTGTTATCCCTTATGTCACACAGCATCCCGCTACCATACGCTTCATGTCCTTTAGAATTTCTGCAATATAATTGATCATCTTGTATATATATGTTAACGATAGAAATATTTTAACAAAAATGAAAATAATAGAGAAAAATTATGTACCTTTCATACTTCAGATTCGTCCATGTGAGCGGAAATTAAAGGAGGAACATAATCTAAAATATTTTAATACTTATATTATTAGTGTAAAAATGTACTTTTGTTCGTTTGAATAATGTATGTACCTTGTATTATTATAGGTATATCCTGCAATGGATCATGTGCATCTGCAGTAGAAATATCGCTATTTGTTGGTGGGCGTTCTCTTCTGAAGCAGAATTTATGAATATAATAGTGAATTATATTAGGTGTACAACTTTGCTTCCGCCGTTTTCCTATAGATGGCTTTAGCGGTAAGTGGTGGTCGAAATAAATAGATCATAGACGTCATACAATAAACTTGGGCATCTGTCAACATAACCCCATAGAAACATTAGTCGATTTGTGTCTGCATCATAAAGTTATTCTCGATTGAAAATGTCAGTTTACGAGCCAAATTCTCGTCATTTGCGGGAGGTTTTAATTTTCTGCTTCAATATGAAGAAATCTGCGGCTGAGGTTCATCGAATGCTCTCAAATACTTATAGTGAAGCCGCTATTAGTGAAAGAACGTGTCGTGAGTAGTTTCGACGCTTCAAGAACGGTGATTTTAACGTCGAAGACCGGTATAGCGGTGGAAGAGAGAAGGTTTTCGAAGATGCAGAATTGGAGGCATTACTTGATCAAGACTCGTGTCAAAATCAAGAAGAATTGGCACGATCATTAGGAGTGACTCAACAAGCCATTTCAAAACGCCTCAAAGCCATGGGAATGATTCAGAAGCAAGGAAATTGGGTGCCGTACGAATTGAAGCCGAGAGATGTTGAACAGCGTTTGTTTGCTTGTGAACAGCTGCTTGAAAGGCAAAGACGGAAGGGATTTCTGCATCGCATTGCAACTGGGGAAAAATGAGTTTATTACGATAACCCCAAGCGCAGAAAATCATGGGGAGTTCCCGGCCATGCTTCCACGTTGACGGCCAAACCGAATATTCACGGCTCCAAGGTCATATTCTGTATTTGGTAGGACCAGCTCGGCGTAGTGTATTATGAGCTGTGTAAACCGACTGAAACAATCATAAGCGATCGGTATCGAACGCAATTGATGCGTTTGAGCCGAGCATTGAAGGACAAACGACCGCAATACAACGAGAGACACGATAAAGTGATTTTGCAGCATGACAATGTTCGACATCATATTGCGAAAGTGGTCAAGACATACTTGGAAACGTTGAAATGGGAAGTCCTACCTCACTCGCCGTATTCTCCAGACGTTGCTCCCTCTGACTATCACTTGTTTCGATCAATGGCACACGGCTTGGCTGACCAGCACTTCCGGTCTTATGAAGAAGTAAAAAATTGGATCGATTCGTGGATCGCCTCAAATGATGACCAG